AAAAAAAAAAGCCAAAAAAAAAGCATGTTGACAGGTTAACTTCACTTATGAAAATAATTTTTCTCTCTCTCTCTCTCTCACACGCACACAGAAAATCCATCAAAAAGTTAACACTGAGTATCTGTGGATTACACAGTGGGGATGATTTTCTTTTCTATATTTGTATGTGTTTCTCAAATTTTCTACAGTGACAAAGCATTATTTTTAAATATTAGGGGCAAAAACTAACCCCCCCCCAATATATTGCAAACTTATAATTAGCTATCATTGAGGAGTTAGTCTGTGCAGAAGACAAGAAAGCTAGTTCTATGTCCATTGATGGGGAAAATGGCCAGGATTATAATTCACTAAAGTCTTCTGTTCTGGAAGAATAGAAACCAGGTGATGTGACCATTAAACATGGTATTGCAATAAAAGAAGTTCAAGGGTATTCAAAGGAGGTCTTGGTCCCATTTTTATAGTTTGTGTTCATGAGGTCACATCGAGAGCGTGCCCTTTGACTCCGAGCAGCTCAGCTTGTGAAAAACAGACTGGAACATGATCAGGGGAGGATGGCCAGAGAGAGGAAAGTCTCGCAGGATGAATGTTGGGGAAACGGAATAGAAAACAGCTGACGTGGTAGCCTGCTTTAAAACCTCCCAGCTTTTGTTGTGTTCAGTTTTGAGACACCACCTACTGCTCCTGTGGGGAGCAAGCAATCTGGCAGTTTCCAGGCACCTTTGCTTACCCATATTTCCCCTCCTTTGCCTTGAGGCAGCTGATACTTGTTTCACCTCTCTTGGGGATACTGGCAGGATCAAAGATGATCATTATAAAATTAACAAGAATGAGTAGCAGCCATCTAGTCACCATCCAGTAGATTCCACGGGCAGAGTATTCACATCCCCAGTACCAGATGACAAAACAGACTCTGGGAGTTGAAGCCACATTTACAGCAAAGGTCTGGACTGGGATTTGAGCCTACATTTTTCTGACTCTAAAGCCCATTTCTTTCCGCCACAACTCAAATGGAAGACAATAATGAATATGACCACATTGCCACACTGTATTATCAAGTGTTAAATGTGTCTTTAGAACTCTGTGTGCAATTCTTAAATTTTAAAAAATCAAGCTCAAAGGCAAGTTATTAATAATAAATAAAACAATTCTGTTTAAAAGTCTCATAGATTTGACATACAGAAAATGAACTAGATATATGTTGTGTAGCTGTATTAGGATGAACTTGAACTAATAAGAAGAAATTGTAGGGAGAGTCATCCAGCTCAAAGTAGGGCAGAACAATTAGAACCAGCCTCAGTAAAGCTGGCTGACCCCTGAGGCTGGTGGGGGTGGGGGAGTCCCTGTCATTGTTTCACAGAGGAGGCTGAGTGACCAGCTGTCGGGGATGTTTAGTAATAATTTCTACATTGAGAGGGGCTGAGGCTAGAAAGCTCCTGACGCCCCTTCATTTTTTATTTTTTGTTTTTGTTTTTATTTTTTTGAGATAGTCTCACTTTGTCGCCCTCGGTAGTGCTGTGGCTTATAGCTCACAGAAACCTCGAACTCTTGGGCTCAAGGGATCTTCTTGCCTCAGCCTCCCAAGTAGTTGGGACTACGGGTGCTCTCCACAATGCCCAGTTAGTATTTAGAGACAGGGTCTCACTCTTGCTCAGGCTGGTCTCAAACTCCTGAGCTCAGGCAATCCACTGCCCTGGTCTCCCAGAGTGCTAGGATTATAGGCGTGAGCCACCACACCTGGCCCATTTTTAAATTTGTTTAAAGAAATAGTATCTCACTCTATTGTCTGGGCTACAGTGCAGTGACATCATCATAGCTTACCGCAGCCTTGACTTCCTGGGCTCAAGCAATCCTTCTGCCTCAGCCTCCTCCTGAGTAGCTGAGACTACAGGTGTGTGTCACCTCACCTGGATAACTTTTTCATTTTTGTAGAGATGGGGGGTCTTGCTATGTTGCTGAGGCTGGTCTCAAACTCAAGCGATCCTTCCTCTTCAGCCTCCCTAAGTCCTAGGAATACAACTGTAAGCCACTGTGCCTGGCCTATTGAGTCACCCATGAAGATTCTATCTTATAGAGTCCTTTATCTTTATTATGCAGTGGTTCCTGCCACATGCCTGGCAAGTTTTTCTATTCTTAGTAGGGCTGAGATCTCACTCTTCCTCAGGCTGGTCTTGAACTCCTGAGCTCAAATGATCCTCCTGCCTTGGCTTCCCAGAGCACTAGGATTACAGATGTGAGGCACTGCGCCCAGCCTTCCTAAAACCTTCAAATATACTATATCTTTTAAGAACGATCCCTTGGAAACAGCAGGATAAAAACAGTTTAAATTCCTTTGGCGGAGAAGAAATAGAACTTAGGTTCTGGTCAGGAACCGTTCCAGGGAGCAGAGGCTAAAGAGACTGTGACTTCAAACAACGTCTGCCAAACTCTGTTGCTGTCTAGAGCGTATTGGTACCCACCAGTTCAGAGGAGATGCTCTGTTTGGTCATGGTGCCCACCTCAGGAATGCGAGCCTTCACCTGCGCTTTGATGTAGCATTTCTCTCCTCCAGCAAAACGGATTCCTGTGATTCCCTGTGAAATAAAAGTTTATTCATCCATCTGTCCATTTGTTCATTTGTTCGATTTATTGAGTGTCTATTGTAAGCCAGGCACTGCTCTGGGTATTAGATATAGGGATGAACAGAGCAGATGGAATCCTTACTCTCTTGGAGCTTACCTTTCAGCATTGTTTACAATAATAACAAATAGAGACAAAGTCAGGTGGTGATAAATGTTATGAAGAAAAATAAAGCAGAGAGAGGGATGGGAATGACAGGATATGATACCGTA